GAAAAGCTCCGTATTAGCAATTATGGGATAAAACTGTGGAAAAGTGGTACAATGGAGAGAAAATTGGCTCTGACTCAGGAAACAGGATTCTGCCGCTGGGGGTGAGTTTCCAGAAGCACAGTCTGGGGTCTCTTCTGGGTTCTCTGGCGTTTATTTTTTTTAATGGAAAGGATTTGCACGAACAGCCCAAAGTTAGAGCACTAAAGCTCACTGATGCAATCAGGTAAATAAGGGGAAGGCAGCCACGCCGACAGGGACTCATCTCGTCTGCCAGAGCAGCGCATGGTGCATGCGGCAGACCGGAGAACGCTAAAGGAATGGGAAACCGATGAGCAAATAAATGCTCAAGTGACACGCTACCCAAGGGAGGCATTTAGAGCTTGCAGCCGAGCTGTGGGGAGCTATCGGCAGCGTCTAACCACGTCAGCAACAGGCAGCCTGTCTGCCCGGACCCTGGAGAGGGGAATCGATGCACGTCCAAAGGTTGAGCTTGCGATAGTGAACTGCACCAGTTCACGGCTCGTTCCCCCCTCGCTGGGAAGGGGTACGGTGGCACGGCCGGAGGAGCCTAGGTGGAGCTGTGGAGCATGGAGGGGTTTAGGCTTATAGAATCACAGAATCATTTAGGTTGGAAAAGACCCTTAAGATCATTGAGTCCAACTGTTAACCTAGCACTGCCAAGTCCACTGCTAAACCATGTCCCTAAGCGCCACGTCTACACGTCTTTTAAATACCTCCAGGGATGGTGACTCAACCACTTCCCAGGGCAACCTGTTCCAGTGCTCGATAACACTTTCAGTGAAGAAATTCTTCCTAATATCCAATCTAAACCTGCTCTGATGCAACTTGAGGCCATTTCCTCTCGTCCTATCGCTTGTTACCTGGGAGAAGAGACCGACCCCCACCTCGCTACAACCTCCTGTCAGGTAGTTGTAGAGAGCGATGAGGTCTTCCCTCAGCCTCCTTTCCTCCAGGCTAAACAACCCCAGTTCCCTCAGCCGCTCCTCATCAGACTTGTTCTCCAGACCCCTCACCAGCCTCGTTGCCCTTCTCTGGACATGCTCCAGCACCTCAACGTCCTTCTTGTAGTGAGGGGCCCAAAACTGAACACAGTATTCGAGGTGCGGCCTCACCAGTGCCGAGTACAGGGGCACGATCACTTCCCTACTCCTGCTGGCCACACTATTTCTGATACAGGCCAGGATGCCATTGGCCTTCTTGGCCGCCTGGGCACACTGCCGGCTCATGTTCAGCCGGCTGTCGACCAACACCCCCAGGTCCTTTTCCGCCAGGCAGCTTTCCAGCCACTCTTCCCCAAGCCTGTAGCGCTGCATGGGGTTGTTGTGGCCGAAGTGCAGGACCCGGCACTTGGCCTTGTTGAATCTCATACAGGTGGCCTGGGCCCATTGATCCAGCCTGTCCAAATGGGAGCATGTCCACCACTGTCCAACGTTGTCTCAAAGGGGCCATGGTGCTTACCACCACCTCGGGGGTTCAGCCCTTCACCCCAGGGACCTCCCTGTCAAACCTGTGGTGTCTGGGAGTGATTCTAATTAAATCTCAAATTCCTCCAACTTATCTCCAGCCTGAGCCAGACTAGCTCTGGCAAGTCATGGTTATACCTGCATCCGCTCGACTGGAGAGATGTTTGCTTTGAGGTTGTGGGAGCGCTGCTTTGGAGAAGGGATTTATGCCAGCCCTCACAGCAACATTCAAAATGCATGAAGACATGCTGTATGAAAGGACTGGGGGAAAAACACACGAGAGTGAACCAGGGGCCATGGTAGAGCTGAACCATGCAGATGGGAAGTTTAGTTATTGAGGCTAAGTGTCAGAGCATGCCATAAAAATTTAGTTTATCCTCAAAGAGCTGTGGTCATGGAGGAAGGATGGGCACGGGGAGGGACGGCAGCTAAGGGGAAGGCAGGAGGAACATCAGAAACCTATAGTCCATGTCAAGTGACGCCTCCTGTTTAGCAGTGTATCATGTCTCCCTTCTGGTTTTTAAACAGTATCCTTTATTGCTAGGAGTTAGAGAGCTTGATTGACAAGGCTTGTAATACACCATGGAGTTGCCTTTATTTTTCCTACATGTTAAAGGAAAAGATACTAAAAATACAATTATGGTTTTGAGCCAGGCGTAGTCTGTTCTAATATAATTCACCTCAAAGACTATCCATTGTGCCTGCTGCACCCAAATCATTTATAAAACATTAGCATCTCCTATGCTGACATTTCACTCCTATATTACAGGAGTTACACAGACTTAAAAAAAATTAATAAAGTGCTTCTCTTCTTCATTCTCCCGCTGAGAGCTTTGATTTCCAGAGTATGAAACGAAATAACCAACATAACAACATTCTCCATTTCTAAGGGACAGTGCCAGACTCATTCAGTTGCTATTGGTTATAGAGAGTAGGACATGAGGGAGCTATTTCAGATCACGGATTATTTGTTCTGGCTGCATTGGACATCCCTTTAGTGGAGCTTTAGAGCCCTGTAGACAGAAAAGTTTGGGTAGGAGCTGGAAGGGAGAGGGCTTGATGAAGTAACCTCTTCCTTTCTCCTCCCAGAGTTACTCCTGCTATTCCCCAAGAAGGGTATTTAAAAGCAAAGCATGCAAGCCCCTGCCCCTCCTCGCTTGCGAGGCGGACAGAAGACACCGTGCCCCCCCAGCTGCCCGCTCCCGGCACCCAACCGCTCTTAAAAACAAGTACATTGGGGAATTTTCTTCTTTTTTTTGCTCGGGAGTTTCCCTTTTCATTTCCAGACGCCTTCAGGGGATACGTTGCTGCGTAAATACCCTCTCCCCATCCCCAAAGCGGTTGGAGAGCGGATTTCCCGAGCTGGCCCGTTCTTCCTGAAGCTAGTGGCGTGTCTGATGGAAAACACGAGCCGTTTCCTTTGGTCTTTCCAGCCCCACACGTGAGCTACAGGCTAGAAACGTGCCGCCGCTGGGATATCATTACGAAATGAACAGCAGCCTTTTCTTGTCCAAGATCACTTTTATTTCCCTTGTTTCATTAACTTCAGTGTCTGTTTGGTCTCATATATCCACACTGACAGGGAATTCACACCGACTGCAGAATTTGGGCAGCACCTCCCCGAGCCCGTGGGCTGCTGTCGGTGATGCCACCGGCTCTGCCGTGCCCCCGACGTTTCCTTTGGTCTTTCCAGCCCCACACGTGAGCTACAGGCTAGAAACGTGCCGCCGCTGGTCATTCATTACGAAATGAACAGCAGCCTTTTCTTGTCCAAGATCACTTTTATTTTGTTTCATTAACTTCAGTGTCTGTTTGGTCTCATATATCCACACTGACAGGAATTCACAACCGACTGCAGAATTTGGGCAGCACCTCCCCGAGCCCGTGGGCTGCTGTCGGTGATGCCACCGGCTCTGCCGTGCCCCCGACCAGCAAACGCATCCCTCCGCCGCGGCGTTTAATTCAGGACGAGGGGAACAAGCAGATCTGCTCCCTCTCCTCCACCTAGCCACAACCCCCTTCGTACGGCTGTCTTGGACCATTTATTTTTCTCACCTATGGTGTAGCAGAAACCCTGGGCACTGCACTTCTCGCCGGTCCTCTACGAGCTGTAGTTTCCTCCTTCTCTGACTCTTCCCGTGACACAACCTGTTCCTTTTAAGAAACAAAACCTCTCCTGACACTGTCAGGACTATCTGCAGCCTGGGAACTGCTCCTTGCTGCCCCAGTGAAAACCTTAGTCCAGCTATAAAGGTCCTCACGCCACCAACACGGCTGGGAAGCCCCTCTCTGCCTCCAGCCCCAAAAAAGCCCCTCTCCTCCCCGGGGAGCAGCAGCACTCTCCGGAGACAGAGCTCTATGGCTCTATTTATTTGGACTAATTAATCTCTCTCTCCCCCCAGTTACAAATTAGGATGTAAGGGTGAGTTTTGGCTCTCTGGATATGGACTTTGCTGCATTGCATACAACACACCCCCCACCCCTCCCAAAGTTTAGTGCTCTGAATCGCTGAGAACGTTGGTCCGCTGTGGTTCCCCCGTGTGTACTGAGCCCGCCCGATGGCTTTCAGCATCTGTAGGCACTGCTGCCGGTTTGTTTTCTTGAGAAAAAAAATCATATACTGGTCTGCTATAAATTCAACAATACAATCCTTAGTTCTGAAGATATAGTTTCCATATAGTTTATAAACATTATAAGACATACATATGGATAATTGAGGGGAAGGGGGGGAGCCTGTGCATTTGTTGGGTTTGGGTTTTTTTCAGATGTGTGAACGCGGTTACAAAAAAATGCACCTCCTGTGGGTACCTCATTTCTTTAAGTGTTTAAGTTTGTTGGGTTTTTTTTGTTTAATTCCACCTCTAATCAGTCTTTCCTTTGGTTGTTGGCTACTCCAAGCCCAGCAGGCAAGCCCTGTTCTGCTGTAATGCCTGAGATATTCAGGGGTTTGAGATTGTCTTCTAAGAGATTCCCAGCCAACTTTGGCCTCTGGGTTTGGAGCCAAAAGGGCTAAAACATGGGAGAACCAATGTCCTCATTACATCGGTATCAGTGTCCTTGCACTCACTTTCAGAGAAATAGTGTAGGCTTAATTGGTGATCATTTTTACAGCAATTATGTTCCTTTCGGTAATTGGAGGGGTCGTTCAGAGCGCTCTCAAATGAACGGGATTTCACAAGAGCATGGATACAGTCCATTTGTCCGGTTGTTGTCACCGGCGAATTGGCTACCGTCCCTGTTATCTGGGTTTTTGTAAGGTTGGCTTTTTTTGTTGTAGGTGCTCGGTTAGGCTGTTTGTGACAAGGTGTGATAATGCCTTTTAATCCGCTCCCGCTGCGTTCGGCACAGTCCGCGTTGGCAGCCCGGCCGGGCACGGAGAGACCATCAGAAGCCGAGACAACGTTCTTCCCTTCGCCAGGCCAACGCTCGCCACGTACAAAAAAAGAAGAAGAAAAGAAACTCTGGTCCTTTGTAGATTGGTGGCAGTACAGATTCGCTCCATCCGCAGCCGGGGGCTCAGCGTATGACGGCCGCTAACACCATCATAAAAACCAGGAGCGATGCCCTGAGCCCTGAGCAGCCGGCTGCCTGCTGGACCCCACTGGGGGGGCGGAGGGGCGTCCGCCGGGTACACTTACCCTTGCGTTTGGGGGGGAGCGTTGGCATCGCCCCGAAACTGAATTTGTGCTGATAATCAGGCACATAGTCTGGAACCTCCTGCCCGTTTTTCCGCGGCCCCAAAGATACCGGTTTAGAGGTTCTGTTACGGCTTTTGTGGCTGGTGCAGTTCTTGCCAGGTTTGCGATAGCCCGGCCGGGAGCTGGGGGGGGCGGCGGGCTGGCTGCTATGCAAACTGTTCTCGGCCCCTCTCTCCTTCCCCTTCTCCTTGGAGGAATGGTGAGGGTGGTGGGTTTTGGAGGCTCCTCTGTCTGCTGTGGAGAAAGTATGTGTTTTTATCTGATGGAGCGACTCGGACCCTGAACAGTTCCTAAAGTCTTCTGCTCTTAGCACCTTGAGGTCCTTGCCGTGCATCTGCTCGGGAGACTCGCAGATGACGCTGGAGCTGGAGCCTCTGAACCTGTGCAGCCATTCCCAGAGCGAACGGGCTTTGCAATCGCAGCTCCACGGGTTCCCGTTCAGCCTGAGAAACTCCAGGGCTCCCAGGTGGGCCAGGCAGTCCCCCTGCAGCTCCGAGAGGCTGTTATTGAACAGAAAAAGGGTGGTCAATCTTCGGAGGTCATGAAAAGCCCGCCTGTGAATCCACTGCAGCTGATTTTGATGGATGAGCAGCCGATCCAGGTTTATTAGTCCCCTGAACGTGTTCTGATGGAGGCTCCAGAGCTTGTTTCCATGGAGAAAAAGATGGCTGAGGTTAACCAAGTCAACAAAAATATCATCCTGAAGGAACTCGATGTGGTTGTCTTGCAGGTAAAGGTATTGCAGGTTGTGGAGGCCACCGAATATCCCACTGGGGAGGGAGCTCAGCCCGCACTTGTACAGGTACAAGGCATGGAGTTTCACCAGCCCTTGGAAAGTGTCTGCAGCTAAAGCCCTTAAGTAGCGGTTGTCCCCCAGGTCCAGCTCTTCCAGGTTGACGAACCCGTCGAAGGTGTTGGGGTCGATGAAGGTGATGTTGTTGGAGTAGATCCAGAGGGTGACCATGGAGGGGCTGAAGTGGCCTCGCAGCAGCAAGGTGATCTGGTTGTTCTGGAGGAAGATCCTCTCGCTGTCCTCGGGGATGCCCTCGGGGATGGTGACGAAGTTGTGAGCCTGGCAGCTGACGGTCATCGGGGACGGGTAGCACACGCAGTCGGTGGGGCAGCCCAGGGCGCCGGGCACCTTCAGCCCCAGCAGCACCAGGAGCAGCTCTGCAAACCCCCCTGTGAGGAGAGAGGGGAGAGCGTCGGCGTCAGCGGGGACTCAGGCACCCCCCTGCCCACCCATCGCCGCCGTGGGGACTATTCCGGGTGAAAAACGCCCCCAATTAACTCAGCCCTCCTCTCTGCTCATGAATTACCCATGGAAACGACTGCAGCTGTGACGAGCGGGCTCATCACCCACGGTAGTTTAAACGTGATGTATGGAGTACTCCCTGCCTCCTTGCCGGCGTCAGCGGGGACTCAGGCACCCCCCTGCCCACCCATCGCCGCCGTGGGGACTATTCCGGGTGAAAAACGCCCCCAATTAACTCAGCCCTCCTCTCTGCTCATGAATTACCCATGGAAACGACTGCAGCTGTGACGAGCGGGCTCATCACCCACGGTAGTTTAAACGTGATGTATGGAGTACTCCCTGCCTCCTTGCCCTGCCTGCAACAGGCAGGCGGGGGGTGCTCCCCCCCCCCCGCGCGGAGGGTGACGAGCGGGCTCATCACCCACGGTAGTTTAAACGTGATGTATGGAGTACTCCCTGCCTCCTTCCCCTGCCTGCAACAGGCAGGCGGGGGTGCTCCCAGCCCCAACCGGGCAGGAGAAACTTTCTCGGGGGAATTCACGCTGGCGGTGCAAGCAGCAAAGCCCTTTGCCTGCAGGCAGGCAGCGCAGTCGGGGGAAAGGCGGTTGTACAAATGTGTGAGAGCAAACAGAGGAGAGGCAAACCCTCATAGGTGTCCACCCCTCCTGCAATGCATCTCTTAAATCGCCCGTGCTTATGTATCGGAGGGGAAAAGCTTTAGCAATTCCCAGCGAATCACCTAAAATTACACGTGTGCAGCGCATCTGCACAGCACACCCAGCTCCCGCAAAGCCGCAGACCCATCCCCACCATCTCTTTTTACTACAGTTGTTAGACGCCGCCATCCACCCCGAAAACCAAGTGATTTACAGGAAAATATGCTGTCAGCAGTTGGTGGAAAAGGCTGAGCTGAGAACTCCGTTTGGAAGTGGGATGCTCAGACATATTTTTAAATGGATGTCCTGTGGCAAAGCATATTGCATCCTCTAATGCTACAGTATGTGCTTGTGACCGGGGCTTTCTCGCTGCAAAGAAGCGGTGAGCAAGGCAGTAATCATCCCCTCCCTCTGCTCAGCTCTCGGAGTGCCGGTTTCACCGCCCCGTTCCCGTCTCGCTCCCACTCCTCGCACCAGGCTTGCTTTCAGGCTTATTCCTTCTGCGCCGAGTGGCTTTTCAGACTCATTGCACCAGAGTTGTCATTTCTCATTCAGATTTTCCTCCTAGATTTGGCTTTTTCCTCTTACACGCAAAATTTGCTCATGTCTAATGAATTCTGCCTCTGGACTTTACAGGGGAAAGGAGTAACATCGGAGCAGCGTACAGCTGCCGGTGCCATCCTGCCCACGAGTCCTCGCCTTGCACTCGGCTTGTAATAATCTGAAAAACGAGAGTGGAAGTGGAGTTCATCTCCAATTACTCCACATCGTTATTACCAGCTAGTCCATGAGCCTGGACCCCTTGGGCTTTTACAGTCCCTCTTTTCAGCGCCTACAGCTGAATGCAAGTGGGAGGCAAAAAACCCTCACTGTTTTCTTGTTAATTGTGTTTGAAATACAACTCCGTGGTTACCGTTGCCTTTTGCCTGGTATGGAGATCTATTACCGTATAGGTCACAGCAGGTGACCCGTCCATCTGGACCCATCCTTTCAAGGCAAAGTTGTCACTTTTTTAGATAAACTGGGTTATTCGGACTCTCCATAAATCACCAGTAAGAGGCAGTCATCTCTGACTAGGCTGTTAATAAAAAGAAAAAAAATAGCATCGCTAGCCAAAGCGTTGGACCAAGCCTTGGCTGCGATGAGATGGGGGGGACTTCTTCCAGGCACTGCCCTTCAGAAATTAAGCAGCGGCTACCAGGAGGGATGTCTCATTCCTGCGCCGCTGCCAGAAAGGGGCTGCAAGTCGGGAACGTTTAATTCGCGACAACTCCTACGGCTGTGTAGGAAAAGGAACGTTCTCCAAGTCACCGCCGTACCATTTTGGCTTTGCTGTCGTGCCTTTGCGATGAGAGAGGGGCTGTGCTGGTGGGAGCGTCGTGCCGGCGCTGACTATCAAGCGCTCCCTGCCAAAACAGGAGCCCTTGCTGCAACTCGCCATGCAAGCACAGCCTGGCAAACAGCGGTATCCTGAGGATATTGTGATTATCCGAGTGCCAGATAAAGATGGTAAAGATAAAACTACCTTTGCAGATACATTCTGCTGGGTTTTTTACCCACAGATGCGCTTCACCAAGGTGGGACGGCTTCACGTTCCCCGTCGTACCTCTGTGACACTAAAGTACGAAGCCTTCTGTAGGTCTTATGTTTATTAGTAAAATCCTGCCAGGCACAAGCGCTGTGACGATCTCCCACATGCAGAGTCTGTTATTGCAAATACCAAATCACAAGGGTCTGAATCAATAAACCATCTCCCAGCTATAAGCAGCAGGTTGGAAGATTACATATTGCTTCCAAACAACGGTTTTATGCACTCTTCCGTGACACGACAGTTGCCAGGCTAACGGGATTACTGACGGGAGGTGGAGCCAGGCAGGGATCTCGGAGCATACACGATTTCACGTATAGGGATGGTGATGACAGGCAGCTGTTAGCAATGTGCGGCGATGGACGAAGGCAGCCTGGGTCTCCCTGGAGCACGGCCAAGGTAGAGGCTCCTGCCGAAAGGGAGCGCGGCGTTTAACGGCTCCCCGCCTGCAGGGGTAACTCCGCAGGAAAAGGTCAGAGGGAACTGAGTCCATCTCTTTAATTAACAGGCGTTTGTGAGTTAATGGCTGGAGTTCCTATGGAGAGGGAGATGTGATCCCCCCCCCAGCCGTGGGTGGCGGTGGGGATAGTCTGGGGTGTTTCTGGTTCTCAGCTTCCCAGGAGTAGGATGGTAGGAAGAAAAGCCAGGGGTGTCTTCCCACCTGGATGGTAGGAAGAAAAGCCAGGGGTGTCTTTTGCAGCACCCCTATGTGCTGCAATTTGGGGGCAAGGAGAATGGGGAAACAGAAAGATGGATGCTTAGAAAAAATAATAATTAGGTGGGCAGGACTTGGAAAGAGGAAACGTGTGGATGCACTATGGGTGCGTGGTCTCATCAAGGACGCTTTCCCTCCAAGCCCATAAAACCTGCCGATTGCCTAGTGCTGTGAGAAGCTGCTCCTGGGATGCCCTGGGCTTGGTCACAGTTTAGATCCAGGTATGAGACCCCCTAGAGACAAACCGGCTGTGGTCATGCAGCCATGAAGCTCCTGAGGCTGGTAACACCAGCATCGTGATGGCCAGCAGCTGAGCCCACCGGGACGAGACAGCCGGGAGCGCTTGAGTGTCGCTGGGCTTCCCAGGCTGGAAAGCACTGGTGGGACCTTCCCGGAGGTCCCAGCCCGGCTCCCCGGGAGGCTTAGACCCTGCCTAACTTGTTGAACTCGTTATTCCTGACACAGCCCTTTTGACTTCATCTTGTAAAGGTTGCGAGGCAGATGGAGGGTCACCAGCACGTGTGTCGGAGCTCACCAGGGAGGGAGACCTTCAAAAGCGGCACGGAAAAATCCTACAGAAACCTGCCGGTGAAGAGAATAAAACCAAAGCCCCGCTGACACGGATAAAACCAGCAAGGGGGTGTTTATCTCCTGGCTTTCTCCCACTGATGCGCTGTGTCACCCTGGCTTCTGCTCGCCGTGCCCTTCTGCTGCCTCCTGCTTTTGACTGAGGTTTCAGTGATTGGAATGAATTCGTCCGACTGTCCAAACCATTTCCCATGTAGCATCTCTCTAATTGGGCATTAATTAGGCATCAGTTAATGAATGCTTGAAATAATTTATCTTTGGATGCGTCCAGTTTGCAGTCTTACTTTTAACAGCACTAGACTCATTATTAGATTAACATCATTATAAATGTTCTCCATTACCTGCTTGTTTCCATTGTCTTAGCCTTATTACTGAGAGTGAAAATCACTCCTCCCGCATGCATTATTGATGAGTAAGGACTTTCTATATGTAGCATGGGATTAATTGTTATACAGCGTAATGCATTTAGCGTGAAGCCTCAATTTGTGCAAGAGCTGAAAGCGGCCAGAAGAATGCAGACGCCCGGAGCCAGCGTGCTCAGCCAGACACAGCACATCTCTCTCCAGCCCAGACCAGGTTCTTCCCGGACCGGTGCCAGCACAGGAAGAATTTTTTTTAAAAAAAAGCTGGTTTGATACCCAGGATCGGGGCGGGGGGGGGCAGGGGGAGAGATTTGAAGGGTTGGAGCGCTTCTGGCAGGCAGCCTGTCCCCACGGCACTGCTCGATCCAGAGAGCAGGGTGTACCTGTGCCGCCAGGTTTCTTGCGTTTTAAGGCTTTTAACGCTTTACTGTATCTCGGAGCAAGGCAGAGCCTTGGTTTATTTGGGAAGACGTAATGCCACTTCTTTTCATCAGGAGTCTCAGGCTCAAGGGGAAGAAATGACTTAGGACAAGAGTAGATGCTTCAGCCCCAGGGGGGATGCACCTGCAGAGCCCCCCAAAAGGCAGCCCTGCCACGAGCCCTCGCCGCCCCCTGCCCGTTCCCTCTTCGCGAGCTGCTTTTCTCGGATGGACGCTTTCACCGCTCCCATCCGGACAAGCTATATGGGTCACGGCCCGTCTAATTCTCCGGCAGGATCTGGTCTCGAGGATGGAGCAGGTTGCTTCTCTTTCAAATCTCTCCTAAACCGCCATCTGCTGTGGGAGACCCATCTTAGCTCACGTCTACATGCAACTTGACTGCATGCTCACTGTGTCCATTACCGGTGCTGCTCAAGCTGTTAGATTTATAAGCTCTTTAGAGCAAAGCCCTCGTCTTCTGGTTGCTGATTTATGTATCTTTACTGCCATAAAACACTATGTATAGCTACTACATAATATAAATAATAATACTTAACCAGAGCGAGCTACAAGTGGGGACAAAGCATCTGGCTTCTGCTCGCAGCCGGTATTATCAAAAAGGCAGAAGCTTACTCATCACTCATCCTCTTCTGAGGCCAAATTCACACCTGGTGTAACACCACCACCTCGCTGTCAACAGGCTCCAGAGAGAGATTTTCCTGCCCCGTTCACACCCTGGATCTGTCAAAGGATGCCTTCTAAATCCACCCCGAGTGAACCGGAGCACAGAGACACGACCACGACCCCCAGGGGAAAATACCCTTTGAAACTTGGGAGCCAACTCCGAATGGGATGTTTGCACCGCCGTAGAGAGAAACTGTTGTTTAGGGAGAAGAAGCAGCCTCAAATATTCACAATTTCATCTGCCAAGTGAAGGACGATGAAAGGCAAGGCCGGGGCAGCGACGGCAACTGGGTGCGAGCCAAGAGTGAAACTTCAGATCTGGGACAGTTCGACAAAGCAGTGTCAGACCTCTGCTTAGTAGCTGCGGGGGGTTTTTTTTTTCCTCCTCTTTTTTTTGCAACACAGAGGATGAAATAAACAAGCCCATCCTGACTGTCACAAAGACTAAATTCCCCAGTGAGCAGCAGCTTGCTTTCAGCCTCTCTGCAAAGCCCCTTAGGTGCTGCCCCGCGGTCCTGCCGTCCTCGCCAGCAGGAGCATCCTCGGTGGGTTTGCTCCCCGCAGCATCGGCTGCAGCTCCCAACGCCGGGACACGGCACGGGGCTTTTGCTTTCTGCACGAGCTGCCTTTCAGCCAGAGTGGCAACCACCCATCTACCTTCATAATTTTATTTTTTTTTTTTGCGAACGGTGTCATAAATAACTGACAGATCCCAGCTGTTTGGAGTTATGGTTTCTGATGGAGTGACAGCTGCTCCCAATCCCCCAGTCATCACCCCGGCAGTTCTGGAACATTTCAGCAACATAAAAATCATTGGAGATAATTTCGGTTTTGCATAATTTGGTTAGGCAAGCTGTGATTTAATGGCAATTATGACCTCCGAGGCAAAAGATGAGCTTGGAGGCTACTGGCTTCGCACGACTTTAGCTCAGGGTGCAGCGTCAGGGATGTTCCAGGGAGAAGGTACTACAAGAAAAAAAAACCCTTCTCCAGCAGCTGGAAGTTGCGTTTCTTTGCTGGCAAGTGGAAAGACCGTTCCCAGAGGAAGAAGCACACAAGGAAATCTGGAAGGAATATCGCTAACGAAAGCTTTGGGAAGAGGCTGGTGCCAAAAGATGCATCGGGAGGTACCTTTTAAAGAAAAGCCGGGAAAAGGCTTTAGACTGGGGAGTGCTGCAGCCCCTGCGAACCCTTCTGCAGCACCAGTAACTCATGTGTTAACTGGATTCCCTCCTGACCCCACTTTGGTAGCCCCAACGTTAAAAAGCAAATCCTCCTCGCGCGGCCGGGATGGGAGAGCCAGCCAGCACCGGGAATGGGCCATGCCCTTTGCAGGCAGCTGCCTGCTTTGCAAGCACTACCCATTGCTCTCCCCTCTTACGGGGTTTCTCTTGCTCTGGGCTGTGTTGCCTCCTCTCCCGGGTCCTTTTCGGCCACCCCGGAGCCCCCTGGTTTGCCTTTCTCCAGCGGTGACTGGCTGGAGCAAAGCCTCGGTCGGGCAGGCTGTGCCGGGCAGGCAGTTGAGGATGGAGAACCGTGCTCAGGAGCTCTGAGGACATCACGGTGCTTCAAGAGGAGCAAAATGTTGCTTAACGGCAGAAGATTGGATGTAAGGAAAAATTTCTTTACTGAAAGAGTGGTGAAACATTGGAACAGGCTGCCCAGGGAAGTGGTGGAGTCCCCATCCCTGGAGGTATTTAAAAGACGAGTAGATGAGGCACTTAGGGACATGGTTTAGTGGGCATGGTGGTGTTGGGTCGACGGTTGGACTCGATGATCTTAGAGGTCTTTTCCAACCTCAATGATTCTATGATTCTATGATTCTAAGTGGCTTTTGTCTGGAGCTGAGAAGGTCCAATTTCCCCTCCTCCATCACTGCTGTCAACCAGCTTGGAGTTTGCTGTGAACTAAAGCTCAGGGCAGAGACTGGGGTCAGCAGCACCCCAAAATCAAGTCCTTTAGGGTGTCTCAAGTTCATTTTACATTTGCTGACCCGGTATCTGGAGCTATTCACCTTCCTCCACGAAAGTCGAGGCCAAGGTCACCTGGAAGTTTCTGGATGGTGGTCATTAACTCCTATTGCAGTTTGAAACCAGACCATAAATTTCATAGTGTAATAATGTAAAAATCAATAACTCTGTTTGAAACAATAGCTTTGTCTTCCATTTCAGCCGGCTCTGATATCTCCCCACGGACCGCGTCCCTCTGAATCACACAAATAAAGAGAGAGGAGCGATGGGTGGCAGGGCAGCTGCTCTCCCGCCAGGTGCCCGGCCCCTCCATCGTTACAGATTCCATTAGTTAATTTGTTCCTCTCCTGCAGTTAAACTCGAGGGTGATTTAAAAGGGGAAAAAAAAAAAAAAGGGGGGAGCTTTCTATGCTCAGCCTCTTTGACATCCTGTCCGATGCAGCGTCCCTGAGGCTTTCCATGCGAGGGATGCCCAAGCCCCCGCTGCCCATCGCCCCGGGCAGCGCAGCCAAAACCCAAAACGCTCCTGGAAAGATGCAGCATCAAAAAAAATTCAAGTCTGTTCTTTTCCAGCTCTGGCTTTCCGGGCAAGGGAGGTCTGGCTTCCTTTGCTTGCTTATTTTCCGTTGTTTGCTGTAGCACTGGCTCGAAATATACATCGAGAGGCAGGATTGTCTTTCACATGTTGGTGGATGTGTGATCCTCAAAAACAAATTAGCACCGATTCACTTCTATATAGAGCGCAGCCATCAGGGAATCACTCCTGAATTCACAGCGAAGGAAAGTAATAATGCTTCCAGCGTGCTAATCCTCTCCGAGAGCAGCCCCTGAACTCTCTCCTGGTGCTGGAGGCACCACTGGAAATTACAATTGTACTGAAAAAATAATAAATAAATACAGAAATTGGCAGGGTTTGTGCTGGTCCAGAGGATTTGTACCCTAATGTGGAACTCCCTGTTTAATTAGCACTCCTCTCTCTGTCTGCATCTCCTCCTCCCTCTGCTCGAGCTAAAGAAAAAGGGGGGGAAAAAAAAAAAGGAGGCCAACGGTGGAAGTGGCTGTGGGATTGGAAACTCGGGTATAGAAACTTCTTTAATTTAAATGCTTGTTTCAGGACTCACACATGCAGAAACAGAGGGAGCGTAGAGTGTGTTTTCCCCATGTAATCTGCTCTGCTTAACCCCAGTTTGCAGCACGCCTTCCACTGCAGCGATGCCCTTGGAGTACAGCTGCAGTCGGACGCTGCCGGTCCTACGGCCGCAGGCACGGGGCACGAACCCGGTACCTCGATGCAGAGCCTAAAAGCCAGCATTTGGGAGAAGATTATCCAAATGAGAGGCTGGGCTGCTGCTTGCATGCGGTTGGAGGCAGATCTTTAGAGTAGAGTAGAGGGGGAAGGG